TACAGGGAAATTCCTTTTTGGTGCACTACCATGGACTTCTCTCAAGAAGATGTCGAGTGTAAGACAAGCTCATAAATAAAATCACATGCCCTTTCTTGCCTGGAGCAACCAAATGAAAGCCCAGGCTGAGTGGGCGATCTAAGTCGAAGTTCAGTCTTTGTTTTTGACTAGGAGGAACATGAAGTGCATCGTTAACCCCTGCACATCTCTGTTCCCTTTGACCCGAAAGTTAACGTTTACAAAGTGAAAATCCATTGCTAGATTTGGGTTAAAGATTTATTAAAGGGCAAAGGGGCCAAATAGCTTTGAAGGCTAGGGCTGCAGTCAGGGGTTTTATCTTGCTGTCTGATGTCAGCCTCTCTTCCTGAGGCTTGTTTGGCTGTGGGCGTGGTGGGCTGTCCTGCCCTTGCTAAATAAAAGGTCAGATGATGAAATTCAAGGCTTGTGCAAAATTAGCATCCTCTTTAGCTGCTGCATCAGGTGGGGAGAAGGACACAATAGGGCAAGGTGACTAAATCTTCTCACTCCTAGAAGTGGTTCTTCTAGCCTGAAGGCAGAAGCATCACAGCAAGGTACACAGATGGCTTCTCTAGCCTCTGTTCATGCAGCATCTGCTTTTTGGTGACAAGGAGTATGTGTTCTCTGCTGCAGGCAACTCTTATAATCTTTCCTGCACAAATAAATGCTAATAATTAACCTGTCTGGCATCTGCTGCTGAATGCTCCCAGAAAAATGACACAGACATATTTCATAAGAGCCATTCTGCAAGAAAGTAGATGTTATTTAAAAGATACCTTATTTTTTTTTTGCCACAAAGCTGTCAGCAGTGATAAAAAAGTATAAATATTATTGCTTTATTTTCTCATCTTATGAGATTAAATCCCCTGATCTGTTAGTAGTACACTAACAGATCAACAGACAGCTGCTCTAGAGAGCTCCTGGCCTGTTTGGCAGTGTGTAAAGGGTTAAAAAAGAGAAGAAATGCAAGTTGAGGAAGCTAAGATTATGGAGACAGGTCTGAATGAATATATTAATAAATATGTAAATATATTAATACATTCTAGTTGTATGAACATAGGCAGGAGCAGAGGTTGGTCCTTTGCTGTCCATTCTTGTGAAAAGGAATGGACCATTGCAACAGTGAGTCCACAGCCACATTGGAAAGGATCTGTCTCGGTTGCTTCTTGCATGCATTGTTCCCAGGATGCAGGAGCTTTACTTTTGGAACTGGCCAGCCACTCACTACAAGAAGTGGTGGTGAGCTGTGATCCAGTGATTGTACTCATCATAGCAGCACTGGCACACTGCAGTCCATGCTGGGAAGCACTGCTCTGAGCATTGAGTAGAAATTTATGAAGGTGTCAGCCCTGCTCTGGAAAGTCTATACCAAATAGGGACAGGGAAGAAACTACAGTCTTGTCTCTGCCACGTGGCATGAAATACACATTGCATAGGAAAATGCTAATGGAGAACATAGGGAAGCAAAGGGACTTGCTGTCCCATGACTCTCCTTTCTTTTTCTCCCAGTGAAAATTCACTACCTGAACTTGCAAATGATACAGCAGGAAACAAAAGGCTTCTTAATGCACATGCTGTGAATTTTGAGTCTCTGTCTACTGGATCAAATACAAGTTAAATCATCTTCTATCTGAAAGTTTTTTTCCATTCCCCTCCTCATCTTTCATTCACCCCTGAGATGTTGAACACCAGCTGTTAAACTTTCAAGCAAGCCCCTTGGTACTTTCTCTTACTGTGCCTCTGACTTAGATGAGCTCCTTGCACCTCTCCATCATGATGCCTAAGAGAACAGTTCACGTCTAATAAGCTGCTGGTATGCAGGTACCATACAGTAGCATATACGTCATGTGGTAGCAAATACTGTTGTGTTGATGGCTAACGCTTTATCTCTCTTTTGGGCCTTGTTATGTATTTCAGCTGGAATCTCCTTGGACTAAAGGCTATGCACAGCATGCACTAGACAGATGTCATAAATCCAGAAAGGTAGCTCAGAAGACACCGAGCACTTCTAATGCTCATTCTTCCATGCTTAATTCATTGTGTTTATGAATCATGTTTATGTGATAACAATTCATTGTGTTTCTGAGTCATATTTATCTGATAACAAAGGCTGTTGCTAAAATATTAATGAAGTACATCTATACTTAATGTTTCAGGAGATCTATATGTAAGAGCTGCTGCCACTAACTATAAAGAGCTTGTTTAAGCTAAATCACAGAACCACTGAGGTTAGAAGTGACTCTAGAGATCACATAGTCCAACTCCCCAAGCAGGGTCAGCTGGAGCAGGCTGCCCAGCACCATGTCCAGTTGTGTTTTGATCATCTGCACAGCTAGAGAATACACAACTTTTCGCATTTGTGGTTTGCAAAACTGGATTCAAGCCTATAAATCTTCACTGTCAAAAAATAAGCGAGATGAACTCTTTACTCTGAAGTATTGTCTGGTAGGGAAGGAGTTTCAAGGGTAGGTGGCCGGTGCCAGGTACTCTATTTCTTTGGCAATGACAAATGATACTTGCATCCTCTGCCTTGAGCTGGAGAATCCCTCACTGCCTATGTGGGTTTTTTTTATGGCAAAGCTGAAAGAGGCCACGGTATAGAGAAAGCCTTCCTGGGCAAATGGGAAAATAAGGGACACCTAAAGACTTTTAACTTGGAGATAACCCAGCCTGTGTTCTTCTAGCGCCTCACCTAAGGGGGTCCAGGTCTGTGGTTCAGAACTTTCAGATACTGCTGTAATAAACCGATGGAAATTCCCAGTTATCCTTATCCTCAGCCCACCCACATTGCAATGGAGCTAAATATTCTCTGTTTCAGAGCAAACATTACCCAATATTGTACAGCCAGGTTAACTGAGTCTGTTCCTGGTGACTGTGCAATAAAGCCATTAGCGTCATGAAAACAGAAGAGCCCAGCTCAGCCCCTGTACTGTCCCTGAGCTGAGAGAGTCAAGGTGGCTCTCAAGCAGGCAGAAAGTCCCAGCAGAGGTTAGGAAAGGACAGGACTTACTTTAGGTCATCTCTCCACAACACTCTTAGTAGTTGATTGTGAGACACCAACTCCAGCCCCTGCCACCAGTAAGTCTTGCTACTTTCCAGCCAAGTCTTCAGCTGCAGCTGTCTCCATTTCTGAGTAATGCTCTGGCTCACTGTGTCTCCAGGGCTGTATCTCTGCTTGCTTTGTTGACATTTGCTCAGTGTTTGCTATGAGCAAAACTGTGTGCAAAAATGATGACAGAACTGGCTCAAAACAGCAGTGTAGATAAGCAGACAAAGAAATGCAGAAGCAGGGGAGGTGGTGTGGCCTGCTGGGGCTCTGGTGTTCCTGCTCTAGGAAGACAAGCATTGGATGGGAAATGGAGATCCTATGTCTGGTCTGGGGGCTCCAAACACAGGAAACTGATCCAACAGGATCAACTGCAGCAGTGGCCCACCATGCTGGCCTGGGGCTGGAGTCCACAGTTCTGTGAGGGACGGGGCTTGATTCAGCCTGGGAAGAGACGGCTCTGGGGGAACCAGGCAGCACCTTCCAATAACTCTGGAGAGGTTGCCAAGTAGATGAAGCGTGGCTCTTCAGAGCAGTGCTTGGTAGGAGGATGAGAGACAACTGCCATCAGCTGAAACTAGGGAAGCTCAAGCTCTATGTAAGGAAAAGCTTTTCAACCGTGAGGGCAATCAAGCAGTGGATCAAGCTGTCCAGCAAGGCCATTCTGTCTCCATCCTTGGAAGTTTGTAAGAACAGGTTAGATACAATTCTGAGCAGCCTGGTCTGACCTCGGAGCTGACCCTGCTTTAAGCTGAAAGTTGGGCTAGTGCCCTTCTGAAGTACTTTCTGATGTGAATTATCTTTTGACCCTGTGATCCTAAGACCAGAGGGGACATGCAAGGAAAGCTAGCTCTCCCTCCTCGTCTCCATAACCAATGTCTCTCCATACACCCCATCTCCTCCCTTGCAGCAGCCAACCTATTTTGCCAAACCTTAAAAGGTGGCAGCTCTTGGTGGCTCTATCACATTGCTCAGGGTGATGTGGGGAGGTGCCAGCTTTTAGAGAAGACAAAACCATTAAGACCTGTCCCTCTCACAGCCCAAGCTCTCGCTGGCTCTGCTGGGCCACACAAGCTGGTAACTGCTGTGGGGAGGGAAGGCTTCCGGGATGCTCTAGGAGAGCAGGAGGCATTAACTCCAGGGTTATGTTGGAATCTCCTCTGTGTGCCTCCTAGAGCAGGGCTTACAGTAGAGCAGGTTACAGAAACAGGGAAAAATACTGCTGCTTTTTCTTTTTTGGGGGGGGGGGGGAGAGATGAGAATTCAAAGTGAAAACATCAAATCAATTGATCTTTTCCCCTGCGCCTTCTGGAAAGGCAGAGCTACTTTCATTTGTATTCCATGGGTAAATGCTGCTGCTCCTTCCTCAGCAACAGCTTCCTGGAAAAATATGAGTATTTCAGCATCTATAAAGTCCCCCCTTCGCTACCTCCAATCACAGGAATGCAAAATCTTCCCCTACTTTGGGCTTCAAAATGCTGTTTAATATTGCCACAGTAGCTCACAAATATCACTACCTCCACCAGGATGGGACTGGGATCCTTTCTATTCCCCAATGTAACATGGCACAGAAGCATAATGAAAACCCCCATTTGTTACACCTTCAGAGGGCTGTGTATGAGAACCCTTTAAGGAGGTTATCATAAACAGGGAGAGAGGTATAATTTATGAAGGAAGCTTATAAAACAGTTGCAAAAAATGGATTTTCTTTGTTCTTAAACAGCTTGTTATTCCCTCCCCCCCCTGCCATGTGTGAGAACTACAACCGCATCTGAAGAGGAAAAGGAGCTGTGAGGGAGCCCTGTACCCCTCTCCCCCTGTTTATTATCTTCAAATCGACCCTGGGGTTGTTTCTGTGGAGTAGGGCTGGCGTTTGGTTAAACACAGACTGGGCTGAGCAAACAGCTTAAAAACTCCCTTGGACTTTCACTTCCAGCACTGTCAGCCTGCCACTGGCCCGTCTCACTTCACCAGCTGGAAGCTTTGTTTGGCAGCCAACTTGACCAGATAGCTGCTTGGGTTTGTGTCTGCTCCAAGAAGAGGAGGACCAGGAGAAGGATGACAGGCTTGCAGGTAAGGGGTCAGGCACGCACAGCCCACTGGTGCTGGCTGTGAACACCCCTTCCTTCTCTGCTGACACCGGTGCTTTGGTGTCTGTGTCATTTTAACGTGCCCCTCGTCTGTGTTTCAGAGTGTATGTTTTTAAAGTTCACTTGGGATAAAGGATTTTGCTGCATTTTGTCTACCAACAGGCTTGCTTTTCCTTTTCTTTGGAAATCATCCTTGGTTAGGCTGTACAGGCACAGGACCTCTTTGTTGTGGGGTTTGTCCTGCACACACCCTCTGCACACACCCCTTCTCCCCCCCTCGGCTGCCAGGAGGTGTTTCCCCCATCAGCCTATGAAATGTGGCTGGCAGCATCTACCCAGGTGTTGCAACCCTGACCCCTCTTCCTGGCAGCCAGGGCAGGAGCAGTTCCATTCCAGGGCAGCTCCATCACAGGGCACACTGGCATAGCGGGGCTCCGGCCGTGCCCTCTGCTCTGAGTCCCAGCACAGAAGCTGATGGGAGCTTTCCTTGCTGTCCTTTGGCAGAGCATGGGGGAGTTTAGGGAAAAGGCCAGGATGTGGTAGGTTTATGGCTTGTGTGAAGGAACATGAGACCCACATTCCCAAGCCTCATCAGCACCTCGCAGTTGTTTTGGGGCTGTCGGGGTACATGGGTAATGTTGCAGCAGGCAGGGGTGGCAAGGGCTCACGGTAGTTCTCAGCAGCTTGTGCAGGGCCATCGTGTTTCTACCCAGGCTTTGGGGTTGTTGTTGTTACTAATCCTCTTTCTAGCTCTGGATATGCCTGAGATGGGTATATCTGTGTGTGCTCCTTCACCACCTTCTCTGATGGTTGTTATTTTACAGTGCTCCTGCAGGTCTTACTCATCTCTGAAGAATCCTGTCTCCTCATACAGTAAAATTTTGCCATGTTTCTTTCTTGTCTGTCCCTGACACCCTCCAGCTCTCACCACCCTTTCAGCACTGGAGCATCCTTGCTTCTGTACCACTCCAGATGAGTGGCCAACTGGTTTCTGTCATGGCCGTGACAGCATCTTTCCTATCCATCTTCAACTCACTCCTAGCAGGCCCTACCGCCTTGCTGGCTGATGTGACTGTGGCTCAGGTTGAGTGTGAGTCTTCTTCCCAGAGCTAGCCGTGGGAACAGGTTGCTCTGCCAGCACCTCCTCTCCTCTCCATTACATACATCTGTACCCTGTCACCACCTCTCCCCACCCCATCTTCTCTTGGCATCTTTTCTTCAAAGCCATTGTTTCACCCTTCTTCTCTCCTCCTCCTGGCTTCTGTCCCTCTCGTGCCTCCTCCACTGTATGTGCTGACTCACCCTGGAGCTGGGCAGGTCCTTTCAGGAAGGATCTGCCTCTGGACTATACCCAGCACATTTGAAGCAGAGGGTTGGTGTGATGGTGGAGGGATGGCATCTCCTGCAGGGGATACTGGTCCTGTGGCACTGGGGCAGCACCAGTGCAGAGCTCTGTTTTGGGTGCTTTGATTTTACCTGACAAGGAGGCTGTGGAGCTCTGCACAGAGGGTGAAGGACCTGCTGTGCTCATTGCCCACATGCTCATGGCCCTATTTCTATGGGTTAGTGTTAGATGCTTCGGTGTTGACTGGACTGAGCTGATACAAGGTGCCATGTGTTTTGTCTAGAGATGAATGCTGTTTTCCTGTGTTCTGTAGCAGGAGCTGATAGAGAAATGTATTATGCAGTGTTTGAAGAAGGGCCTTAATTATTTTGCAGTTTGTGTGCTCAGACTTCAAATGTGTTTTCCCCATACCTGCTGTCTAATCCTGTAAACAAAAGGTTATGGTTTATAGGTCAGAGCGTGACACCCATTGCTTTGAGTCGTGGTTATTCCAATCAATGAGCTTTGCTGAATTTTTTACGCTGTGCTGGGCTTTTATCTCTCCCATTTTATTGGAAAACTACAAAACAAGAAACAAAGTGGAGGCAGATGAATTCCTAACATCCTCTTTGCATAAAAAGCTACAGGATCTCCAACAAAATAACAACAGTAATTGACAGCAGAACTGAAAATGAAAGATCAGAGAGAACTTTGAGTTTTACAGAGAAGCCACCTGCCCAGCTATCAGATTAGTGCCCCAAACCTACTCAATCTGATGATCATAGAACCATAGAATGGTTTGGGTTTGGGTTGGAAAGGACCTTAAGACTATCCAGTTCCAACCCCCTGCCATGGGCAGGGACACCTTCCACTAGACCACATCATCCAAGGCTCTGTCCAACCTGGCCAGGGATGGAGCATTTACCACTTTTTTGCGCAACCTGTGCCAGGGCTTCACTGCCTTCACAGTAATAGACTTCCTCCTTGTATCTAACCTGAACTTCCCTTGTTTTGGTTTGAGCCCATCACCCCTTGTCCTATCACTACAGTCCGTCTAGATACTTAGAACATGCCTAGGAATTACGGAGACCCAGCAGACTCCTAGAGGGGGGTGACTTTGGACTAAAAAGAGTGATGTAGAGCTGTTGGAGCAAGTCCAAAGGAGGCCACAGAGATGCTTCAAGGGCTGGAGCAGCTCTGCTCTGGAGCCAGGCTGAGAGAGCTGGGTTTGTTCAGCCTGGAGAAGGGAAGGCTTCTTAAGGGGAGACCTTAGTGACTCAGTCACCTCCAGTTACTAAAGAGGCTGCAGGAAACATGGAGAGGGGCTTTGGACAAGGGCCTGAAGGGACAGGTCAAGGGAGAATGGCTTTAACCTGCCAGAGGGGAGATTGAGATGAGCTCTTAGGCAGAAGCTCTTTCCTGTGAGAGTGCTGAGGTGTTAACACAGGGTGCCCATAGAAGCTGTGGGTGCCCAATCCCTGGCAGTGTTCAAGGCCAGGGTGGACAGGGCTTGGAGCAACCTGGTCTAGTGGAAGGTGTCCCTGCCCGTGGCAGGGGTTGGAACTGGAGGAGCTTTGAGGTCCCTTTTACCCCAAACCATTCTGTGATTCTATGAAAAACACAGTGCTGTTTCACAGAGAAGGGTTTCTTTCCATCCTTCCAGATTTGTTTAGCCCGGGAAGGATGCTCTGGTGTGGATGCTGAGCGACCAGAGAGGGGTCAGTTCCCCTGGCTTGGGTAACCCTGTGCAATGCAAACTGAGAGGTGGGAGAGGTTAGAGAGTCAGCCGGGAGATGGGCTGTGGTGCTCCTGGCCCTTTGCTGCTCCCGACCGACCTGCACCAGCACGGCACCTCCGTGGTGTTCTAGAGCCCTGCAGCACGTACACCTCCGATGCACTCTGGGCTGGTGTGGCGCAGCTATTTTTGGCAGCCCAAAGTACTGTTTGACACTGACCCCTAAAGGCATGGAAAGGAGACGAACCTCTCTGAGGTCTGCCACAGGCAACGGCAGAAGAAAACGAGTGAATGAGAAAAGCTACACGGAAGATGCAGGCAAAGTCTTGGAGCCACACTCGGGGTGATATCCACCACTGTCAGGACAGTGTCTGCCCCCTGCAGCTGCATTCCTGCCAATACCATATTCCAGCCCTCCTTGCAGTTACTTGAGGATTATTCTTTTCTTGGCAAGGAAGATTTGATGTGACCCAGCAATAATGCAGCTGCTTCTGCTCCTGCTCTCAGGGCAGGGGTGATGCCACCTTCTCCCAAACACTGTGTCTTCCCCCTGCCCCAGCCTCCTGCGTCCCTGGGCCGTGACCAGTGGCTCTGCAGCCCACAGGGGTGCACAGCCAGGGAAGGCAGCATCTCTCCATCCAGCCCAGTGGGAAGCTGCCTGCATCCCTGCACTTGGAGCCAGCCAGCCCATGCGGGGTTGGGTGAGGTGCTGTGCAACACCAGCGTGGGCAGAGAGCATCTCCTGGCACAGACGCTTGCTGCCGAGTTGGTTTTCCATCCTTCCCAGGCCCAGGAGCAGGAGTGAAGGGGACTGGGGAATGTGGATAGGGAGGTCAGCTCTGCAGGGCACCCACTCTCGAGCCTGAGGATGGATTTCTCACAGCAAAATCCCTGTGCTAGAGGCTGCACACTGGTTACTGGGTACACAACCCACTGAAGAACCACACACCCTCCCCTCCCAGCTCTCCACCAGCTTTAAGTCCAGCATTTTCCAGGTGATGCTCAGCAAAGGAGCCTGTGTGTTGCATTAACCCTCTCCTTGCTGCTCTAATGGCAGAGCCTGCAGGGCCTTGCTGGCTGTCCCTCAATAAAATCACCATGCCCCCCTTCCTCCTCCTCCTCTTTCCTCTTTTCAGCAAGGCAAATGCTCCCACCACCTTTACTTTGTTGGATGCAGTGCGGAGGTCTCAGTTAATCCTGGAACTGCTGCAGTCCCATCAGATATTGCTGCATTTCCGTTTAAAAGAGGGGAGGGAAAAAAAAAAGCTAAAGAAATGCTCCGGTACAATACATTTGCCAAGGCTGCTTAGGTGACCTGCTGCTTTGCATATCAATATGCTTGTTGCAGAGCCCACTGGAGAGCAGAGTCCTGCCAATGTACAGTTGTTTGTAAGAAGGAGAGAAATATGCTCCCTGAACCAATGGAAACGGAGATGTTTTTAGGTCCAGGCTGAGCAGGGCTTCCAGCCAGCCCACCTGCCCCTGGGAATGGGCTGGAAATGCCTGAGGAAAGCACAGGGGTTTCTCAGGAGGTTTCAGGTTTGCTCTGCACAGGGTGGTTTCTAGGGGGGCTGCAAATTGCACGAGGCTGAGAGACCCTGGAGGAAGTAATCCAGGCGCGATCATAATGTAATGAACCCAGTATAGGGGCTTTGTCACCCCATCTCCCCTCCCGGGCTGTCACTCTGCATCTGCAGCTGATTCAGGGTTTCTCAGTGCTGGAGCTGCTGAGGTGCAGCAGCATCGCAGTGCCGCAGCCACTCCATCACACAGAGCGTGTGTGTCAGCGAGGGCTGGGATGCCAGGGCTCTGCTATCCCAGTGGTGCTGTGTGAAGGCAGACCCACAACCCGGCTGCTCTTGCAGCTGATAGTGAGGAGCAGTTATTTACATGGAGCTGAACTACTGATTGCTGCCAAAACGTCTCTGCATGCACACACAGTTCAACAGAGTTGCTTCATGCCTTTCTATAGTGTCTGAGGGGACTGTGTTTACATTTCTGTCAGGGCAAAGCTAAGGTCTCTGCTGTATCTGCTTCCCTGTGTATCTCAGGTGTATTATGGGGCTTTTCTCAGTGCTGCAGAGCTGGGAGCTGCATCCTCCAGGGTCCTGTGACTTTTAGCCACGCTCAGACCCTGGCAGCTGTAGCAGGGCAGGCATGGGAGGGCATGCAGGTCTGTTCCATCCATGGGTCTCTCAGAATACATCACCTAGAAAACCAGATTAGCACCTGGTAATAGATTAATTCTTGCTTAGTACCATGGTGAACAGTTCATACCCAACTGGGCAATACTTGTTTAGGGCAAATCAGTGACACAGTTCAAGTCTCAGCTGAGTTTCCCTTCCTTCCTCATCCCAACTGTGTCCTGACTTCTCTATTAATGGTCATGGGGATGTACTGCAAAAACCCAATAACCAAACAGGTCCCAGTTTCAATCCCTGAGCATCTGAGGACTCAGTGCATGAATTTGCAAGTCAGTCTGCAGATTTGGGAACATCCATGATTCAAGCAAAGTCAGATTTAGCTTGCATGCTGCTAGCACGCCTCCATAGTGTTGGTTTTGGTGTTGCAGTTCTTCCTATACCTCACCCTGTTGTTCTTGAGTCTCACTGTAATGTGATATTTGGCTTATTTCTCAAGTGCCTTCATGCCGCAGAGTGTGGTCAAAATAGACATGCAGATTTAGCAGGAGATCAAATCCTGACTGTGCTTCTCACTCCACCACGTGGTAAGCTCATGAAGCAAACCCAAGAGCTATGAAATCGGTCTGGAGCAGTACACAAGTAGATCACTTGAGAAAGCCTTAATGCACACAAAGAGCCTGGGAAATGCCTGGGGAGGCAATGGATGGTTGTTTGGAGAGGGGTCGCTCGTGTTCTCAAAGTGCTGATGGGCTGTGTGCTTTATTTTACAGTACATGTCAGGATTTGGAAATGAGCATGTTTCTGAGGATCCACGCTGTCCAGGAGCCCTACCGGAGGGACAGGTACTGAGGGGTTTTAAAGTGCTTTATGGGAATGACATGGAACTGAGTGAAAATCTGTTCCCTGGGCATCTTTGCATCTTAACATGTTTCCTTTCTCTCTGCTACCCCGAAGTCTCCAGGAATCTTCTTCATTATTGAATAATAAGATGATGGCAAAGATCAGAATTAAAGATTCCCGTTCATCTGTTCTATTTCTAAGTTCCTCATGAGCTTCCAAGTCTCAACCTTGGGGGTTAAGACTTGCCTCAATTGCCTCAACAGCAGGTTTCTTTCCAAAAGGAGCCTGCAACACAAGTGGCTTGGCCACACCAAGAAGGAAGCCATTGGCTCTGGAACAGACCAGAGCAAAAGGTTGAAGGCTGGCAGAAAGACATGCTCCTGCAGGAGAGGCAGCTGTAGGAACTGGGTTCAATGGAACTGGCTTATGAGCCTTTGGCAGGAGAGCAGCTTCTTTGTAGGGAGAGGACATCAATGCCTATAGCAGTAAACATTCATTCTTAAAAGAAACTTCTGAACATGGTGAAAATAACTTACATGGGGTTGTTCTGTTTTAAAGAGAGGAATCACAATCACTGTGATGCCACCCAATCTGCAGAGGCAAGAATGAAACCCTGAAGAGTGAAAGCTCTCCCATCTGTCTCCTTTGTGCTGGTCTCCTTTACACCAGCACACGTTGTGAGGCTGACTGCGCCCTCCCTTGGATCTCCTGCAGTCCCCTGGACTTGAATGGCAGCATTTTATGCTCAGTCAGTGACATCCCTTGATTCTCTCTTTACCCTCTGTGCAGAGAGACCAGTGGAATTAAGGTCAAACAGGGAGCTGCACCCTTCATGAATTTTCAGGATCCCTCCAGTTCTGATGTTTTACACGCTGTGCGCCAGTGGGGGTAGTGGCACACAACACAAGGACACATTAAATATGTATGTATGTCCTCTAGGCCTGCATTGCAGCCTGCAGCGTGCCCACAAGAAAGGCGAACCACTGTGCCAGATCAGACGGATGGCTCAGCAGTGCAGTGGCTTGATTCTGAGACTGGCTGTAGCAGATGGGGGGAGAAAAAAGTGAGAAAGAAGCACCTCAAATGTGGGAGATCAATAGCAGTGGCTGCTGCTCGGAACAGGCCGTGGGCTGTGTTGGATGCGATGGCCCAGAGCAGCAGGAGGAGGTGCTCTAGCCTCTGTGCCAGAAGAGTGAACAGAACAACCTGAAAAGGAGTTACAACAAAAAGCATCTCCAGTCCTAGGGGTGGATCCTTTCTCCTCTGCAGTGTTTGTAAGACTGGCATCTGCAGTACGGCTGCCTAAGATCAAATAAACAAGGGCTATTGATCCCCCTGCTTCACTGTATACCCATGCCAGAGAGATGGACTTTGAGGGCTGCAAGCTACATGGGTTATGAGAGCCTTACCTGTTCCTTCTGCCCACCGGTCTGGGCAGTGTGGATGGCTGGCATTCCCTAAGGACAGCTGATCCCCACAGCCGCAGCAGGATGACAGGATGCTAAACTAGACCTTGCAAGGGGGTACTCGGAATAGCAAATGGTGTATGACTGTCCCACCAGGGTACTTCCTGCAGTTCTTGGATGCCTTTGCTTCTTGCTGATCTCAAACAAATAGATGCTGGCCTACTTAGATCAAAATACTTGGTTTCTGTTCTCTGTAAAGGAGGAATCTGCCCTTCAGTTACAAACACACAAGGGCTGCTAAACTTGTGCTGGTCGTACCCACGGCTCTGCAAAGGGGAAAGTGCCCACTTTGTACTCCAGTGCAGAAGGCCTGTGGCAAAGCAAAGGCTCCCAGGAAGGTCACTCCTGCTCTTGGGCAACAAATGACACTGCGCGGAGGAAGCAGCACACCTCCGAAATGCCTTCTGTGAGCACCCATTTCTCTGGGAAGAGGGAAGGAGGAGACGGAGGTGTTTAGTGCACAGGAGAGGAGAAACAAAGGTGCAGCTGCTGTATGTCTTTATCAGCCCTTTGGAAAGCCAGCCAGACATTGATGCTGTGGGTCAATCCCTCTGCACACTTGGGTCTCAAAAACATTTGTGCATAACAACAGTCTGCTTTGCAGTCTGTAAGTGTTGGGAATAATCCCCTTTTCCCTGGTGTTTTGATTGCCAGCCCTACTGAGCACCACCCCTTGCAGCTTGCTCCAGCAGCAGGTGTGTTGCCTCAACGCCTGTGCCAACTCCTTAGGGCACCTGTGTGTCCTCTTGCTTGTGGGAATTGGATGTGGGGTCTGTCTGGCACCCTTGGGGCACCCAGCCTCATAGGAGCAGGAAGACACAACTACCAGGGCCGATGCATAGATTCAGCACGGCTCATCCCATGGGATCAGGGTGCTGGGCGCCTGCCAGGGTGCTCTTCCAGGGGTTCCAGAACTAAATCACTTGCTGCTCCTTCTCACTTCTTGTTTTCCCTTCTGCTTCCATTCAGAATAACCCGCAAGTCTGCCCGTATGGCCTGTACGCGGAGCAGCTCTCAGGCTCTGCCTTCACCTGCCCCCGGCCCACCAACAAGAGAAGGTACCGTGACCCCTGGCTGTGGGTGGGTGACATGGGGTGCTGGGGTGAGAGTCGGGGAGCCATGGGGTGGCTGCAGCACTGCCACCAGCGAGCCAGGCGGGTGAAGAGCCTCCTCTGTGCATGAGGAGAGAGGCAAGGGCAGAAACCCACTGGGGAGGGAGAGGAGCAGCTATGGGAGGGTAATGGGTTACGACAGTGCTGAGCAAGGGGGGATCGGGATGGGAAAGAAACTGGTTTTATGAGCGAGGTGAAGAAGGGGAAGGGATGCTCACAGGGACCAGATGGTCCTGAGCGGGGTGTGAGTGCTGTGCAAAAAACCTCAGGGTCTCAGCCCTGCTGCTGCTGGGAATATATCACCTCTGTGGCTGGCACTGGTACACACCTAATGGAGAGTATCAAAACCAAGCCTTTGAGCAGGACTTGTTCCTCCTCCTAAAGGATGCTCCTATGCACTAGGGCTGATGAGGCGCTAGCTCAGACTGTACCTTGTTTTGGGTCTGACCAGGGCCTCAGGCCAGTGCCAGGCACCCAGCATACTGCTTACCACCCCATGCTCCCAGCGATTCTAGGGCCAGCTTGTTCCAGCTGGCAGCAAATGTCCCAGAACTCTATTCTGGTCATCATGCTCTGTGTCCTGATCATCACGTTCTGTATCCTGGTCATCATGCTCTGGCCATGACCAGATTGCAGAGGAGGGGTTTCTCATTTTGCTTCTCCTGCAGCAGCTTTTCCCTCTCATCCGTTGTTGGTTCGAATGAAAGGCAAATGCATCATCTGAGCTGCCAGCAGAGCTCTGCTCTCCAGGCTGGTGCCAGCTTGTGGTGTGTGTGGGAAAGGGATGAATCATTGTTTGCTGCACGAAGATGTCCTTGATGGAAATTTTCCAGCTCTCAAGGGAGAGCTCCCTCCTCCCTTCTCCCACCTACCCAAACTGCAGCCACCTCTGGTAACACATCAAAGGCACTGGCAGCCCTGCCTAGCTCAGGTCTGCCTGATTACCTTACCTCTGCTGTCCTGCCTAACTAAAAGCTCAGCTTCAGGCTTGGCTGCACCTGTGCATGGTATGCAGGGGCTGCAGCCATGGATACAGGAGGCAGCAAGGGAGGAGAGTGATGGTCCAGGTGGTGCTGGAGGCATGGGGGACCTCCTACAGCAGTAGGAAGCATCATCCCACATAAAGCCCACATCAGATCCCCACTGATCTTCACTGCATGGGCTTGCTGGTGGTCCTAAGGGCATGGCCAGCCAGGCATAGGATGCTAATTTCAGTAACTCATCCAAATTCAAACACTGGCTGTGAACTTCTGTCTCCTGAAAGCTCCTCTGCACTTCCAGTTAGACAGTATGCTCATCCCTGTCTTGCCTGAACTGCTTTGTAGCTGTGTTTAAATAGGCTTTTATTACACCTCAGAGATTGCTGCATTTCAGCCACAGATAAAGCTGTATCTTTTATATATATATACACACATATGTATGTGTTTCTGAATGTAAACATATGTAATTATATGTAAACACACATATAGTCATTTACGTACATATAACAGCATATACTTGTATTTAGAGCCTATAATAAAAAGCCATCCCTCTGGAAGTCTCTGGCTGTGAGCTGGTATTTGATATTTAATACACCTTTTGGTTCAGTTGCTACCAATGTAAATGTTATCCATGCCTTTAGGAGCTCAATCAGCCAGCAGCCACCCACAGGGTCTAACCTCTTCCTCAGGATAATCCAGATCTTTTCCTTCTTTGTAGCTGGCTGTATCGGATCCTGCCTTCAGTCTGCCACAAACCCTTCGAGCCTCTCGAGGAGGGACACTTGACACACAACTGGGATGAAGTTGAGCCTGACCCCAACCAGGTAACAGTGCTGAAAAGACCCCTGGTCCTGCCAGGGACAGTCAAATATTAAGCTAACGAGGGGTACAAAGGCACTGGGCTGCAAGAGGTCTAAGGAGAAATGTAGAGAGCTGGAGGTCCAGCCAACACAGGACCTGGGTCCCAAATGCCACCTGCCCCTCACCTATGGGTCATGCAAGGAAGAACAGTCCTCAATGCGATGCTTGTTGCTTCCCAGCCTGATGGATGGTTGTGCTGCCCCCCAGCAGTGTCACAAGGTTTGACCTGCGCTACCTAGCATCTCCCCTGGGGGCTCCTGTTGGCTGCCTCTCAGGCTGCTCTTTCCTTTTCAGTGTCCCCCATCAGAGGCTGATGGTGCTTCAGCCCGGCAGGCAGAGCAGCAGCATGTCTTTGCCATCCATCTCCTCCTTCCCTGCTCTTTTGGAGGGGCTGCTGGCTGCCAGCCCATTTCTCTCTGCAGCCCTCATGGGAAATCAGGATTCATTCTGGAGAGTCTCACAGAGACATGGCATTTGTCTTCCTCTGTTACAGCCTTGCCATCATCTTTAATCATGATTTCTTCCCTGCCAGCCCCAGAACGTTCGGCTTTGCTGATCTGACTCTCCTCCTGCCGCTCTCTCAACATCTCTGAGCCTCCTCTCGTGGTCACTGGTTTTTATCCCTCTCAGTTTTGCCCTTTGATACATAATCATTAGCTATTTTCCAGCCTCCCAGCAGCTTTGCCATTTGTCTACTTTCCCAGCTCTGCTGGAATACGTTTTCCAGCCATTAACCGAGGAGGGGAGACAGGCTCGTATTTACGTGCCTTTGGTGGTGCTCCATCCCATATGAGGCGCCAATGATTTCTGTTACCACTTCGTCCATCCCTGATGCCCTCATCTTTCACAGCCCTCATCTACAATTACAGTTATGTATGATTACAGTAACTCCAAGATACCTAGCTCTCTTGTAAGCTCAAACCACTTACATTTAGTACATCTTTTACCTAGGGGAACAGCAACAAAGCTTCTGCCCCCTCTCTCACTGCTTTCAATGGCAATCATCAGACTCAGAGGGGTTATTTCCTAGCAGTAAGTGGGAGTCAACTTCCTGCTTTCCTTCTCATCCTCTCTGAAGCAGAGCCAGAGACTGGGTTCAGTCTGTCGGACAAGATGGACTCTTTCCTGTGGTGCTTTGTGTTTCACCCAGCTCAGTTGAGGAGCTTTCCCGATCGTCATCCATCTAAAAGGATGGCCATATGGAGGTACCTTATGCAAAGCCCATTGAAGTCAATGGGAAAAAAATATCCTCTAACGCTGCCTGAAGACAATAGCAGAGTTATGAAAGGCACAGGGGACAAAAGAGGAAAGGGGGTGAAGGTGCTGAAAAAATAGAGGTTGGCAACCGTGCAAGAAATGGTGGAAGAGACGCAAGCTCTCCTGACTGGAACAGAGGTGACCGAGGGAAGCTGTGATTGAGAGGCAGGGAGGACATGAATAGCCATACCAAACGCCAAGTTTAAAAAACCAAATGCATCAGCTGTGGCTGTTCTTGTCAGAGGATGCAGTGATTGGACAAACCTCAGGGACACAAGGAGCCTGTCATGTAACAGGTGCTCTCACCAGTCTCTTGCATCACACAGCGGGGAAAGAACACCAAGAGCTTCCCCATTTTAAGCACCTGGCACTGGCTGGGGCTGCCTTTCTCAGACTTCTGGCTCAGGGCACTTGTTCTTCTCTTCTTGCACTGGTGAAACCCAAATGCGGCAGAAACATGCAGGATGATGGGCATGCAGGGCCAGGTAGTGGCTATGCAGTTTACAAGCATTTTGAAGGATAGGGGCCAGACACCATTTTCAGTTGCAACCAATGGGCTGGATGACAGATTTCCTGCATTCCTTATCCCACAGGAATGACAACTGTGGAGGTGTCCACAGGGACCAAAGTGAAAATGAAACTGTAATGCAGGAGCCGCATATACTTATAACTTTATCTGTAGGCTTACTGACATCTTCCGTATTCGTCAGTGAGAAAAGTTTCTTCTCTTTGGATAATCTTTATACCTGACACCTATTTCCCTTCTTTTGCCCATTCTCCCTTCCTTTCTCTCCCCCCTCAGCCTTCAGGGTCTTCTCTCTTTGTCCCTCCACATCCTTTCTGTCAGTATTTCTCAATGGTTTCTGTCAACTGGGTCCCAATTCCCAACCCTGAAGGCTTCTCCAAACACTCTTTAGAGGAACAGTTCACATCAAGATACCACCGCTGCCCTTCAGAGCTGCCACAAAGTGAATGGGAGCTGGGGAAGGTTCCACTGCTGCGAATGGAGCAAGCTCTAGAGCACCTTCTGGCCATGCTTTGCATTGGCTCAGGTTCATGTCTGGAAGATTGCTGTGGAAACCAAGGAGAAACATGCTTTAAAGAAGTCCAAAAGCAAAGCCCATGTTCAGCACTATCTCACTGACTCCTCTGGGAGCGTTTGGTGTCTCCATCCAGAATATGCAGCTTCTCCAGTTGCCTCTCTCCCTCTGCTCAGCACCCAGCAGTGTGACCCTGAGCAGGACCCATCATGGAGCTACCCAGGTCTCCCAGGGAGGAAAACTTGCCATGCCTGGCAGTAAATGGGATGAGGGGAGGAAGAGACAGGGGATGGATCCAACCCAGATGACCCAAGGCTGTGGTGGCGGGATGCCCTTGGGAAGCAGATGGCTTTGGAAAGCAGAGCGGAAAGGGACAAGTAGTAGGGCCAGGCCTGTGGTGCAGCTGATGCATTAGAGATGAGCCCCTGCTTCGCTCAGCTTTGCTGGCAGATGCATTCACTGGACGCAGTTCCCTGCTTCCTCTTGAGGCTGGCCCTTCAGGAGAGTCTGGATTTTGATTTGGGTTTGGAAACCCTCATGATGCTTGGGGAAATTCAGTATCTTTAGAATCCCTTTCAAATTTAGCTCAGACTTCACATAGTTCACATGTTTTGGGAACAGCAGGCACAGACACAGGGTTGCCCGAGCTTGGTTTTCTCACGGCAACAGCCCAAAAACATGCTAAGAACCATTAGGTCGGGTAAATTAAAGCACGAAAATGTTCTTGATGCCCAGAGTCACAGGTACTTCCATCTGGGATCAAGAATCTTGATTCAGGGGTATATCTGGAACTGGCCACATCAACATCCTTCTAATTTGGGGTGTTTGGGTTGGTGTGCATTGAACTCACACCCCCAGAGAGGGTCTTTAGGCTGCAGCATCTTGTTCCCAAGAGTTGCAAAGACCCTTAATATGATCCTGAGCTTAACATGATAAATTCTTTTGACTCCTCCGGCACCTTCTGCCTGAGGATCTTGACAGGCTTTGCAAGAAATAATTGGTGCTGCTCACAGCTCCCACTCAGCAGGTAGAGATATTTCTGCTTCAGATGTGGGGAAAATGAGGTGGAGCAAACAGGAATGTTCCGCTCGGGTCATGGAGGGAGTGAATCACTCAGCACAGAGTGGAGCACAGGACCGTAACAATTTGGCTGTGGAAAGCTGGCTCATCTGAATTTCTTTGCTCTCAGTGGTGTTGTTGGTAATAGAGGAAGAGACAGGTTTAAAATAGGGTTTTCTTTTTAACCTTGGCACTACACACGCCTGCCAATTATTTTACAAGATTATGATTAAAAAGGAAGAAAAACTTCATAAGCCAAAAGAAACCTGTGAACCAAATGAAGCAAGGCAAAGAGGAAAGACAAAGCTACCTCAGCTCACAGAGGGCAGGGAAGCAGGGGGAGGATGAGGTTCTGCTTCCTTGTAAATTGCCACCATTTGCATTATAACCACTGGCATCTCTTTCTTGCTTTTTGTTTGCTTCCATCTAGGTCCGATGGAAACCCTTCGAGATCCCAAAAGCCCTTCAGAATAAGCTGGACTTTGTGAACGTAAGTTCAGGGGGATAGGGCATGGGGGATCCTCCAGCCCTGCTCCTTCGGTGGGGCTGTGGGGCACGTGGGATGCTCAGCACTGGGCTAACAGCACTGGTTTTGATACCACTGGGCTTGCAGAGCATCCATGGCAGGGGAGAGGATCCCAGATTCCAACCAGCTGGCAATGGACTTGATTTTCTTCATTGCCTTTCCAGGAACTCTCAATTAAAAAAGCCCCAGCCTCAGCTCTCCTAGTCTGTGAACTGGGACACACCAGCCTCCATGGATTTTTAAGAAACATTTAATATAGAATCACAGAATCATGAATGATTTGGGTTGGAAAGGACCTTAAGATCACCCAGTTCCTACCCCCTCCCATGGGCAGGGACACCTTCCATTAGACCAGGTTGCTTCAAGCCCCATGCAGCCTTGCCTTGACCACTGCACAGCTTCTCTGGGCACCCTCTGCCAGCACTTCACCACCCTCACAGTAAAGAACTTACTCCCTATATATAACCTGAACTTCCCCTGTTTCCGTTTGAACCAATCATCCCTTGTCCTATCACTACAGTCCCTGATGATGAGTCCCTCTCCATCATCCTTGTAGCCCCCTTCAGACACTGGAAGCTGCTCTGAGGTCTCCATTCAGCTTCTCTTCTCCAGGCTGAACAGCCCCAGTTTGTCTCTGTATGTGAGGTGCAAAACCAACATGTTTGGCAGAGGCCATACAAGGAAAGGCTGGTAGTGGTACGGGAAGCAGGGAGAGGGGGAGAGTCACAGCAGGGGATGAGGGGAGGAAAGGGGGCTGCCCCTGCCCTGCTGCCTGTGCTCACTCCTGATGGTTGGGTTTGCCCGTAGGGACTGCACACCCTGTGTGGTGCCGGTGAGCCCAGAGGACGCAATGGCATCTCCATCCATATCTTCGTCTGCAACACGTCTATGCTCAACAGGTCAGTGCCTGCTATGCTGGAGGGTGCTGTGCTGGAGTCCAGCTGCTCCCGGCATCACTGTCTCTATGTCCCTGTGCTCCTGTGTGCACAGGGAAGGTGCTCATGGTAGCCACAGCAGGTTCTGCTCCATGGCCAAGCACTGGGGGAGTGGGTGAGGAGCCACCAAGAGAAGGAGGGAGATGGGCATGGGAATGCAGCGAGGGGGGATGTGTTGCATCCAGGTGCTTTCATCCCAGAGCTGCTCCTCAGAGGTCAACATGACTCAGAGGCCTCTAGTGGGCATTGCTACCCCTGCAGTGGCTCCTGCAGGAAGTCAGCCAGGCACATTAAACGTCCCTCCTCTGCACTGGCCAGTATATTGCATTCACTGACTTGCAGATAGCATTCCTGGTGCCAAAGGGAGACCTCTGCCATGTCAATATTCCAGCTGTGGTCATGGTGTGAGCAAGTGCCTGGGGCTTACGTCACCTTGACCTTCCTGTTCTTCCTTTTTAGGTGCCTTTATAATTCGGATGGTGACTTCCTGATTGGTAACTACTTTGGCTTTTCCTTTCCCCCCACAAGGGTTTACCTGGGTTGCCACTTGCCTGGCATTTTGTTCTTCCAGAGCCCTGGGCCCTACAGCCGATGTTTGGAGGAGAGGGTTGGCTTTACCCTCATGCCATCCACATTGGGTGGTCTGGCACTAGCTGGGCTGCTGGGGAGGTTGCACTACTCCTGCTCAGCTCACAGAGCACATCTCTATGCCAGACCGCAACTTTGGCTCTGAGCAGTGACCCAGCTTCATTGGTATGGTGCTCAGGGGTCATTTCCCAGTGCTTCCCAGGCTGGTATGAGGCACACCACAGGTGGAGGCTTTCTGGAAAACATCGACCTCAGGATTTCTGAACAGCTGATAGCTAGATGCCTTCATTGCTTCAGTCCAACAGTATCTGGCACGGCAGCTTAGCTCCCATGCTCTGCTAGCCTCAGGCAACCAGACTGCCACAGTGAGTGCTGAGGTTGGCACATGAGGTGTGTACCTGCTGAAAAACATTCTGAGCAGTATCACAGAAGTCTGATATTTGCTTGTATCTTTCTTGACCAAGGGACAGAAATGCCTTCAGGTCACCAACAGAAACATTTCTCCCATCAAATAGCTATTAAATTGTTCTCACTCACCTCCCTCACTACCGTGAAGTAAAGGTGCCAGGGCAGGTTTTGTAAATCTGCTAGTTTTCCAGCTCAAAATGTGAGCTCTCCTACACCAGACAAGTCACAGAAAAGAATGCAGATATTAGAGAAGCATTGCTTCTACCCTTAGGAAGCAGGGAGAATTAGTTATTCCCAAGCATCTCACACTGCTACAGTCATGACAAGGATGGGTACATGCACCGTTTTGAATAAGGATCATGAGACAGACAGGTATGGCCCCAAATGCATCAAATACCATTTATTTGGACTGTGGCACAAACACTACATCAAGTGACCACGAAGTAATGGATGGTCCAACCTCACACAAGTATGCTGTTACTTAGGGACCATGGGGCTGGTTTCAAAGCTCTCCCTCCAGTGTGGTCACCTCTGTTGCAAGGCTCTGCAAGGGAGAGGGAGCCCAGTCCTGCTGTGAAGCAGGGCCAGAAAGAGCCCATTGCTCTTCTGTTCAGCCTAGGTGCTCTGGAGGAGCAGAGAAGATGGCAATCACCATGTTGCTTTAGCTCTTCTGCCTGCATTTTGTTTCCACAGTGCCCCAGCAAGGGAAACTGCTCATCACAACCGAGTTTGGGAAGATGCTAGTGGAGCCCAATGAAATCTGTGTTATCCAGGTAAGGGCTGACTGCACCCTGTCTATAGCTCAGAGCCCGATGCTGGAGCAAGCCAGCTCCTGCATTCAGCCATTCATGGTTTGTCAGCAAAGTCCTGGGAGGATCCTAGTTATCTTCCTTTATTTTCCAGCAAGGAATGCGTTTCAGTGTGGAGGTTTTTGGAGAGACCAGAGGCTACATCCTGGAGGTGTATGGAGCACACTTTGAGCTGCCTGACCTGGGACCCATTGGTAACAATCTCCAGTCACAGCTGCAGTGGATTTCATAGGGACAGACATGAACTGCAGGCCCAAATCTGCCCTTTTATATCCTATGAAATGCATCCTCCCATGCACATGCTCCTTCACAAAGATGCTTTCCACCCATCAGAGCAAGCATCCCCTTCCAAAAAATGTGACAGCCCAGTTGTCTCAAGATTCCCCTGTCACTGAAGGGAACGCTTCTCTCCCACCCCTTTTTCCACTTTCTCTCTTCCCTTCTAGTCTGCAAGTCCCCATCTGCTAGCTCTGAACCTGTTCCTACCAAAAGAAACTCAAAGGCCATCATCACTGATGCCTCTCACTTGTAGATGTGGCATAAACTGGGGTGATAGCAAAGAATTTACTTGGTAAAAGGAAAGACAGATTTCAAAGGCAACAGATATTCTTAAAGCCCAGTTTTAGATGTAATCACATGGGTTTTTTTTCCCCCATCCCTGTTAATGGAGGCACCTTTGAGCTCAAGAGCCTAGAGCACGTTAGTGTCAGAAGCTGTTCCCCTTGGAGAACTAGAAATCAATAACATGAACTGCACAGCACTTGGATCAGCAACACGTTCACATCTCCATGTTGTGCTGCCAGGGGCAGATCTGTGTTCACTGAGCACAGGTCTAGCTCTCATAAATCACAGCTCCTCTGTGCCAGCTGCCTCCTGCTCTGTGCAATGTCCCATATCGCAGAGGCACAGCCTCTTGCTGCAGTGAAGATACCACGAGGGTGCTTGGCATCGAAGCCCCACCATCCCTGCTGTGATTTCTGGAGCTGCTCAGCTCAGCTTATTTACTTTCCTTATCAATTATCTCAGGGAAGGGAAGTGAAACTCCCCTTGTAAGAGGTAAAATACAAAACGGGTACCAATAGTTCTCCACTTTCAGAGCAGTGTTTTGGGATTGGTTGGTTTTCATTTTCGGTTGGGTTGTTTCTTTTCCCCAGCAGACTAGGCTTGTTTTACAGTTCTCAGTGAGAACTAAAAGACTGGCCATGCTTGAAGTAAACCACCTAGGTATTATCAGTCAGTAACAAACTTGGCATGGCCCATCTGCATTCAGTGCGCCTTTGCAAACATCTCATGGCCATAGTGAAACTGAAGCCGGTCATTCTTGCAGTGGGGAGCTGATCTGATTTGCAGCTGTTTGTTGGGATTTCTCCCATCTCTCCCGTATGACATGCTGGGCACATCTCTTTCCACAAGGAGCCTACAATGATTTTTTAGCAGCTTTTCTTTCAGCTAGATAAGATTACCTGTCTTTACCCACTTCCTACACTCTCTGCCTGCTTCACTTGATTATTGATAGCGCTGCCCCAGCCTGTTTGTAACAAGCTTTCCCATTAGCTAGTTTTCCAGACACTATTGGACTTTGGGGATTTGGGGCTTTAGTATTTTTTTGATTTTCAGAAGGCAGGAATCTATTCTAAAGTTTACTTTCTGGAGAAAAGAAAATGAATAGAACTTGCCTGTAAACCTTTTCAGGAGGTGGTAATTATAAGAGCTTCTCTTCTCACCACCTACCCACCTTTCCCTCAGAGACCAAGATCCTTTGTATTTCAGTCTTACTTTATTCTAACTTCACTTTTCACTTGGAAACTGACAGCTGGAGAAAAGCACTGGCTGTTAAACCTTAGCAGCAAGTAGTAATGTCTGCATTTTTATCCAAGAAATTCAAAACCACTTTGTAACAATAATACTAATGAGGTGAAGAAGAACACTTCAGCACCCATATGGTGCTTTGCACTTTGAAAACGCTCTCCTCACACTAACCAACCCCTCAGTGTGCCCAGAGTCTGTAGGTATATCACTAGCCCTTATATTATTACCCTTTCTGCAAGCATTTGGAAGTGTATTTGCCCCTCATGACATGACACATAAATTCTGCGTGGCTAAAGGTCCAACCAGAAGGATGTCCAGGAACAGAGAGCAATTCACCTTCCATTTTTTGTAACAGAAACATAGAATGGTTTGGGTTGGAAAGGACCTTAAAGTTCATCCAGCTCCAACTCCCCCTGCCATGGGCAGGGACACCTTCCATTAGACCAGGTTGCTCCAAGCCCCTGTGTCCAACCTGGCCTTGAACACTGCCAGGGATGGGGCAGCCACAGCTTCTCTGGGCACCCTGTGCTAGCTCCTCAGCACTCTCACAGGGAAGAATTGCTTAATTTTTGCTTAACTCCTAGTTGTTACATGCCTTTAATTGAAGATGACATACTAATCTTGTTCAGAAGGCAAATGTCTTCATCACATAAGGGAAGCATGGACTTAAATACTGGGATGTATTACAGTTACATCCTTATCGGAGCAGAAGAAGTACATGACTATTTCAGGTTTCCTTGTGGGCCAAGCAGCAGCAGGGTCATTCATGATGCAGAAGGGCACCCACAAAACCAGGGACTTGCACCAGCCTCTCACTTTACTAGCAGTTTGCCCAAAGAGCTTTGGTATCTCTCTTTTGCAGGAGCCAATGGCTTGGCCAACCCGCGTGACTTCTTGGTGCCCGTCGCATGGTACGAGGACCGCCAAGTGCCAGGGGGCTACACGGTGATCAGCAAGTACCAGGGCAAGCTGTTTGCAGCCCAGCAGGTGAGGATGTGCCGGGGGAACAGGTAATGCTGAAGTGCAGCGACTGCCAGTGTGTGGCCTGGGGTATGCAGCTTGGTACCCTGCATGTAGTCTCAGGAGGTCCTGCCAGGTTAAGTGGAGCAGGATTTCACCTGATGGACCTTGGTTTGCTGGGACAAACATCTTCCCAGCTGAGGCGCCTCAGTCTGGAAAAAAAAAGTGCTTGTGAAGACTTGGTTGCCCAAAGACTCAGTGATGGTTTTTGCCTCACTCTTTCCATACTGTTTACAGTGATAGGGTAGGAGAGAGAAGCTGGGGCTGCTCTGACAAGCCAGGATTTCCTTACGAGAGAGCCAGTGCTGCAGCTGGCCTTGTTCAAGCACTGCCTGTGCACTCAAAAGACGTTAGAGAGCAAGCCCCAGCAGGAGAGCTGAGGTTCACCAAGTGGAAATTGTAAGGAAAACCACATCCTTGCAGTGCTGGGCTGTCCCTAAAGGGCTTCATGCTCCAGACTGATCGTGTACATCTCCCCAGCACTAATTAGGCAAAGAGCAGTGCCCTGCGTATGTGCAGCAAGTTGGAAGGCTGTATATGGTAACCCTTTGTCTTTTTGCTTTGGTAGGATTTCTCTCCCTTCAATGTTGTAGCCTGGCACGGGAACTACACACCATACAAATACCATCTGGAAAAATTCATGGTCATTAACTCTGTTGCTTTTGACCATGCGGTAAGTTCTGGAGCTGGGCAAGGCAAAGCGATGCTTTGTGGATACCATACCAGGCAAACCCCTCCTGAGCACAAAGGGCCTGTTAAAGTGCTCTAAGAAACCCAGGGAAATCTCTTCCACTGCTTTCCCTGGGCCCAAACCAAGCTCTTGCAGAGAAAGACATCCTCCTTTGTGGTACAAAGACATAACTGGAGGTTGGTCAGCTTCTGAAGCAGCTTTATGCAGCTTAGCGTAGAATTCCTGTGCCCAGGAGGAGGGCTGAATACTGAAGCCAACACACACTGTGCAATCAGCCAAAGGACTTTTGCTTCATGTTCTTGCCTTAATTTATTTCTGGCAATTGCACAGACTTCTTGCCCTGGTTTCTCTGCGCCCAGCACTGAAATTCATTGGAGGAGCTGGCAGCTTTCACTGCAACCATTTCTAGGTCTTGCAGAAAATAACTAAAGCCAAAACTAATGTGAGCAGCTCTTCTAAAAAGGAAACCATCCCAGTGGGAGAGGTGCCTGCAGCGATGCCATCTCTTGGCACTGCTTCTGTAAGTGGGTGTGCAAGGAGACTGGAGCACTTCTAGTGAGAAAACCAATGGAAAGTATTGTATAAACTCCAGGAGAACCTGGCAGTAGAAGGATGGTTTGGGGATCAAAGCCCAGAACATCACTTTACTGGACTAGAGACTTCAGAAACCTTTGAAGCAAGGCCCAATTTCTCATCAAATTTCTTCTCCTTGATTGTAAATGAACAGGGCTTGTGGCTAAATGTCTCCAGTAGGATGTTCCTGTCCTCTGGAAACAGTAAGGAAGAGGTGCAATTTCATGGTAGGAGGAGTACTAAAGACTGCTCCTGGAGTTACAGTACCCATCTTGCAGGGCTGTCCCTCCCCTACATCTGTGTCGCTGGCTCCAAGGGTGTTTGGCCAGGGTGGGGAAGGCTCTCCAAAGCTGCTCAAAGGAAGAACCATCCAGTCCCATCCCCCATGTTCAGAATGGGATCAAAATGCTGGGTGCTATCACAAATCTCACCCACACCACCAGCTGTAGGTTGCAAGAAGTGTTTAGGCAAGGGAGAAGCTGTATCAGGCAGGCTCTATTGGCTGGATGACCTGAGCAGACAGCTGGGGGCCCTGCTCTGTTTCATGCCTTTTGCCTTGCTTTTTTCAGGATCCTTCTATTTTCACTGTCCTGACAGCCAAGTCGACCCGTCTTGGAGTGGCACTCGCTGACTTTGTCATATTCCCCCCGCGATGGGGGGTAGCTAACAACACCTTCCGGCCGCCTTACTACCACCGTACGTCTGCTCTTTGTTGGTTGTGCTTGACTACAGGACTGCAGAGACAGAAACAAGCCTTCACTGATTTGAGAGCATGTGTAGGGAACAAGCAGTCTGATTTGTTGCCCTTGGCACCATTAGAGTCAGCTTCTAGGAGGCAGCCACTCCTCCCTGAAAAATGAACAAACCCAAAGATGTTCCTATTTAGAGCATCTCAGGAAAACTCAGAGGTGATAGACTGGTTGTGTCTGCATAGATAGATGCATGTGTACTCAAGGGGCTCCCATGGAGACTGGGTGCGTATTGAACTTGGCATTACACAAATTCATCAGCAACTGTCCTGTCATCCAGCCATGAATTACTTAATCTCATTAGAGTACAGAGATAAAGGGGAATATGCTATCACAAGTGGTGAGAAGCACAGAGAGATTTAGAGCTGCCCAAGCCCACATATAGGTCAGATCATTACAGTGAAGGAGTGAACTGGCTTTCCTGAGCCCTTCTTCACCACCTGCACAGTTATAAAGGTACCTCTGGCATTTAAGAAGCCAGAGGTCAGGAACTGGGCTCCTTCTCAAGCAGAAAGATGGTTGATGTTTTGGGGATTTGGTTGCCATCACCAATGCTGTTTCTTTTTGGTGGCAGTTTTTGGTTCCATTTTGGCTGAGCATGGCCACATGTTGCATTGAATGGATAGTAGAAATCCAGTTCTACACAAAGGACTGCCCTTCAGGGTGGGGATGAGGCACCCTGCTCTATGAGACTGAGGGGGAAAGCTCACCCATCCTGCATCCCTTCTGTCTGCCCCATCTCAGAAGCTATCAAGGTCATACTATGGTCACTTTGAAGTGCGGAGGGGCTTTCTGCACAGTTTAATAGCCAGCTTCTCCTGCTACTTAGATATATTTCCAAGCCTCTTGAGGGCTGGCAGAATTAGTGTCACTTGCAAGCATAGCAGGCAGCTGTGCAGCCATCGGAGTAAATCTCACAGGCAAAGTCCTGCCTCATCATTCTGCTTTCATTTGCAGTAATGAGTGTGACATGGAAACATGTCTCTTGACATGCTGGGATAGTGCCAAGTCACTTTTGTTAGACCCTCGGAGGTGAGACATGCTGCGTGTTAATCAGGATTAAGGTGCTGCTTATCAACAGAGCTTTGCTAACCTTCCATGGATGCACTGTGAGCCATAACAACCATGAAGTTGTTCAGCCTTGCTTTGTCTTTGGTAAAAGACAGATGAATTAACTCTCATTCTCTTCTCCATGTTGTGATCTAAGAGTACCCATGCAGAAAGCTACCGCAGCTGCTCACTTGACCACAGTACCTCAACCATAGGCTTGAGCACTAAGTTACTGATGAGCAGGTTGGTTGTCTACTCTATCCCAGCCATGCAGCAGCAAAGCTTGAGTGGGTAAGGCAGCCATCAGTCTGCCAACAGTCAACAGTCAGACAACAGTCAATTATCAAGACACTGCACATGTTTGTTCCCTCTAAAATTAGTGCTGTGATGAAAATCTTGTACCATTAAGAGAGGGAGAACAAGACAGAGCAGCTCATTTTCTGTCTTGCATTACCTTTGCCCCAAGTATAAATATGGCAATGATGGGCCAAAAATATTCCCCCCAGACACTGCAACAATTTCATGTGCAAAGGTGGTGCAGCTCATAAATACTGACTTCTCTTGGTCACCTTTCTACCTGCTTGGAAGCTGTGAAGTACTCCTAGGGTCCTAGGATCACACATTGAAAAATGTTTGATGCAGTTTTTATGCTGTGGGCATACGTTGCACCTGTGTCTGCGAGAGTACTTGTGCAATTCTTTCAAGGCTGGACTTAATATCTAATGGCCACTAAGGGATTCTAATGTCACAACATCCTGCTTGTAGAAGACAATGTGATTTCACCAATAGGGAATGGAGCACACCTAAGTTGTTGGGGGTCATGCAGGAATGAACAAGAAACTGGACTCAGCTCATCTCTGAAGTCCCAGCCTTGTTTCCTACCCACCTGCCCATGCTTTCTAAGTGATGTTATGAGTCCTGTCACAGAAGCATTGGCAGTTCAGGTCTTGGGGCCTGTACGGCAGCCTGAATGCCAAGCACTAATGAAAAGCTTGTAACAAGCCAGTCTTAATGAGACACTGACAACTTGGGATGAAAATTAATGAATGTTTGCATACATATGCAGGCCAATTCTGCTTTGAGCTAAATTAGTTTTGTTGTTAAACATTTCAGACCTGGATTGTGCTTACAAAGCAAACTAGTGGTTAAAAAGGGCTATAGATGATAACATAGCTACAGAAGCATGTCCTGGTTTTGCAAAAACTGACCACTAAGCAGAATGTTGCCATATTGTTTAGTCACATCAGGTCTGCTAAAGGTGAAAGGCAGTTGGGATGGCAGTTGTTACAGTATTTCACATGCAGGGAACATAACTCAGTGAGTACTGAATTACTTGATATAGCCATCGTCACCTAAGTTAGTGGTTTCAGAGGGTCTACTTATTCTTCCTCAGGGAAGGACAGCATTTGGCTCCTTGTCTCTGGTCATACAGTATCTCTTGAGAAACAGGTAACACAAAACAAAAGCATAAGGTACTGAAGGGGCTGGCTGGACTAGAGGGGGTGAAAGGGTATAAAACAAAATGATTCCATGCTTATATCCTGGGACAGCAGACCAGGCTCTCTTGCCAGACTGTTGGCCCTGCAGTTTGTGCCTGTAACACAGGGATGATTGTACAGACCTTCGTTTGCAGTACTTTAAGATATCTAATCCAAGTCTCTAAATACCAGGTTACACTGTGCAGTCCATGTGCAGGTGTAGTACTTACATAGCTTGAGGTGGTAGGGAAAGTACAGGAGTGCCATCAAGGAACCTTCATCAGGCAGCTGTATTTCTGAATCCAGATAATTAAAAGTGGAGTAAAACCTGTACAGCTTTACAAGCATTGCCTGTAGGATCCCAGATGGCCTCTCATGCGGTACCCTGCTTAGGAACCTCCACTCCACCCAGCCCAGTTTAGCTTGTGGGTTTCGAAGTGCTAATAGCCCAGCTGTGATGTGTTGCAACCTCTTCTCTCTGCCTCCTGCAGGGAACTGCATGAGTGAATTCATGGGGCTCATCAAAGGCCACTATGAAGCAAAGGAGGAAGGTTTCCAGCCTGGAGGGGCCAGCTTGCACAGCATGATGACTCCTCACGGGCCGGACGCTGAGTGTTTTGAGAAGGCGAGCAAAGCCAAGCTGGAGCCTGAGAGGGTTGCAGAAGGGACCATGGTAAGGAGCCAGTGGAGCTAGTAAGATTTTGAGTACAGCATGGCAAGTACTTGGACAAAACTGCTGCAGCATTCTGCTCCCAGGAGCTGCCCTGGAGATATGGGATGGCAGCAGCTTTGCTCATCTGCCCACGTACATTGTTGCCTGAGCAGGAAGCTGGGACTTCTCATGCTGCTTCAGTTTTGTCTTAGGCTATGGACAAAGAAGTGAAACCCCTGACTGTCCTCCTTTCTCCACCCCCTAAAAACCTAATGATGATGATGAGCAGACCTTGAACTAGGGCTTTTGGAACAACCTGGCTTTCCTGGGCATGAAGGGAGTTTCAAAGTCACTCCTGGGATCTGCTTAATACCAGCATTGCAATGCCGGCTCCAAACAGCTTTCTCTCCCCAGGCTGAATCAAGCTGTTTGTGGTAGAGCAAAGCCACCCTGTCTGGATGTAAACTCCCGCTCCCTTGGCCTAACCTGCCTTCCCTCTTCCCAACAGGCCTTCATGTTCGAATCATCCCTCAGCCTTGCCATCACCAAATGGGGCCTCCAGACCTCCAAACGCCTAGATAAAAACTACTACAAGTGCTGGGAAGCTCTGAAAAGCCATTTTAACTCTAAGCGCAAGTAAAGAGAAGTACCTGTTGCTTGCAGTAAGTGAGCGAAGGCAGGGAAATCCAGCATACCTACGTGGGGTGGCACGGTTGACTCCAGCACAGAATAGCATTTCCAGCAGCCACTGAGCCACGAAAATGATGATCCCTATTTAACTTGGGAAATGCAATAAAAAATGCACCATTATTCTTAACTTTCAAGTATCCCATTAAAGCTTTCCTGGTGACACGCTGAAGCTGAAGTATTTACACAGCTCTCACCACACACAGTTGGTGTGAATGCTGTACCTTGTGTGGACACGAGGAGACGGTCAGCTCCCTCCACAGGGCCTCCTGAAAATGTGATGTGTGTTCCACAGGGAGCAGCTAGGGATCTACAAAGCATTTTATGCCGTCTGTAGGGTAGAACTTTACAGAGCTGAAGGCTCTACCATACCTAAGCCTCCTATTACAGCAGGCCACTTCAACCTGCTGATCTGTGGAGAGCTGCCAAGGGAAGACTTTGATTGTCAGAAAAGTAGACTGCAAATTAGAAAAGGTGGGAGAATCCAAAACACTTCACTGCTGAGGGAAAGTTTCCTTTCCAATCCCACGCTCCAGCCATCCTTCAACATTGACTTGTTTGTCGGTACTTGTCAAATATCTCTCCCTACTCAAAGTTCTGATTTGCAGCACAGCAAATGTGAAAGGGCTTGTCTGGCCAGTCCAGGCATTTGTTCCTGGCACCCTGAAGAAAGCTCAAGTGCAGACAACATCACAAAGGACCTCAACATTCATTGTGGTATGCAAGCCTTATTCCCAGGTGACAAGTTCCACAGGGTCAATGCAGAAAGTGAAGCCTCAAATACAGTGGGAACCAGGGGCACAGCCCAGGCACCCCAAACCTCACACCTACACTTTAGCACATACCCATGTAAACAGTTAATAAGCTTGGTGCCAGCAAGATCTATGTTTCTTACTTCCCAAGACAAACAATCCTCAGTTTTCCAAAAGAGAAAGAAAAACAGAGCTGCGACTCCTAACTTCAGTTATACCCATCATCAGTTTTGGATCTGCACCAGATCCTTGGCGGGGGGGAGTATCAGCTTTGAGCAAAGTATTATAATATAAAATCTACAGGGAGATGTTTACTCTAAAATAGCCAGTTCAGAAAAGAACATCCAGAAGAATCAATTTGCTGGAGAAGTTGATTTAATCAGACTGATCCAGGGCTCAATGAGGTCTGAAAATTTCACAGGCAGTGGGGAAAAGCTTGTTTCTTGTTTGGGACCTAAACTATCATCCAGTGACCTGCAGGCTCGAGTTTCTCTTGCTATGCATTCATCACTGAAGCAGAAATGGGTGGTAACACATCAAGTCAAGGGTAAAATTCCACAAGGCACATTCACTCTCCTGTCTTCACCCTACATTTCTGAAGGGAAACTCCCCCCTCCTTCCTCTACACACTCTGCACCACTGCCTCAACCAACCCCACCTCCAGTAGCATCACACATTTGTTTCTTGCAAGAAAAGCAGCTCGGAGAGTTCTGCAAAGAACAAGAGAGAAAAGTAGGGCAGCCTTTCCCCAAGCACCACACTCAAATCTGCAGGGACATAGCATCAGACACTTGCGATGGCAAAGGGAAGGGCTGTGGCAGGTGCCACAAGCATCAGTCCAAGGCTGGCCTAAACGACTAATGGCACTGCTCTCATCTACAACCCATTCTGAACCATTTGCTCAGCTGGCCTGAAACAAATACAGCTGTGAGGGAGAGTTTACATGTGTGGCAACTCAAGTTCCAATTAGCTGAGGAAATGGGTCCTGGGAGATCAAATTATTTTGTGGCAGCAGGAAGACAGTTAATTTAGCATGCTCAGACAAGCAATTACTTCTTTCCCTAAATACCACTTTCTCCATGCGCTGATGCCTCTCCGCACTGACCCACAGCAGAAACCTTAATATCATTTGTGACAGTCTTTTAGAAGCTGTTCTGCAGAGAGAACAATCTGGGTTTGCTTTAGTTAAGTGAGCAGAAGAAAAAGCCACGAGGACAGATATAAGAGGGTTGCTGGGAACACACATGGGATTGCAAAAGCAGGCCATGGCCTTGTACAGCTGCTGCAAAACCTTAGTCCCAAGCTCCTCACAGTCTGAGCATCTGATGTGCCAGACAGGAAAGGGAAGAGCTGCAGCAGGAAACAAAGAAACAAAACCCCCTTTTTTTACTGTGAGGGTGACCAAGCACCAGCACAGGCTGTACAGAGAGGTTGCATAGTCTCCATCCTTGGAGATACTCAAAAGCCATTTGCACACTGTCCTGGGCAACCTACTTTAGGGGTCTCTCGTTAAGCAGGGTCTTGGACCAGGTAATGCCCAAAACGTCCCTTACCACCTCAAGCATTTTGTGGTTACATGAAAAGACTCATCAACTCATTCTGATGGAGAGGGACTTCAAACAGCCAGTATCTACATCTTAATCATACAGCAAGGGACGTGGTAGAGCTGCTTTTGCTGACTTCACACAGGCTGCTTTCCCAGCAAACAGAGGGAAGGTTTCAACTTTTGCATCAGACTGAGATCTTGGCATTGACCTCAACATCTGAGAAAAAAACCTGTGCAATGTCTTAACGAATGATGGTTGGTTGGATCATTGATAGCTCCTACAGGCCATGTGAAAAGTCTGGGTTAAAAATCTTTCCCTTGCATTCATGTTCTGGTACTTTGACAGTAACAATTCCAAAGCCCCTTCTACCAGTTGACTTTAGGCAGAAACAACCTTTGTTCTTATAAAAAGAAGCAGAGAAGGCACCTTTGTGGGCACAAGGTTTAGCTATGCTTGGATTTTTTAATCATGGCCCATTTTCAGGGATGAAATGGAATTCTTCTGTAGTGAATCAGTGTCAAAAATAAAAATCCTTATCATTACTTGTCTCCCACTCACAGGAATGACAGTGGAAATGCCAGTCACCTAGAGCATGACATCATCCAGCTTGTTATTTCCAAGTCTGCTATGATAATTTTATCCCAAAGTTTACTGCAAGAAAGACATGGTTTAGGCTTGCTTTTTATTAGGGAAAAGAAAAACTTATTAAGAGCAGTTAGGAAGGCTCCTGAAGTTACTAAAGATTACCACAGAACTTGCCTATTATCCGATTAGGGCAAACTACAGTTAAACTGATGCCAAGAATACATACCTAGTAAGCAAGCAGCAGTTCTGTAGGAACTGCTCTGGGCCTGCTTAATATTTCAGCTTGTGCTGCTCTGACAGCAGCAACTTCCACAGTTTAAGAGGCCTCTGTATGTAGACCAAAGGAGTACAGTGGTTTTGTTCAGGGCACTCTGTATCTATCTGTTAGATATACAGATCCTGCATTTCTGCACTTTCAGTAACTGTTATAGATGCAAGACAACCAACAAACTGTTAAGATTTATTCTTATGAAGGAGAAACATCAGCAAGTAACAATACATCTTATTTTATTTATATGCCATCAGCAGCACTGCAGTTCCAGGAGCTTAAAATAAACTGAACGGTCGCTCGTATTTACCTTCCTTGATAAGCTTCTCTCTGTGATCCTGTGGAAGAAAGAACATTCATCAGCATCCTATTAAAGAAGTTTTAATCAACCTGGGATAAGAGAAAAGCAGTTCTAGTATTTCAGCATGGACTATAGGAAGATGGCATCATATGTGATCTTAGGGGTCTTTTCCAGCCTAAATGATTCTATAAGCACAAACTTAACAGCTGATGAGGTTAAAAAGTGAAAAAGAACAAGGCATTTAGCTTCACCTAGCTTCTGAGCTACAGAAGACGTGCTCAGATTGACATCTCTGCAAATCCAGCCACTCTCACAGGCCAGCAGAGACCAATTCCTTCGGATGTATTTTTCACCTAACTAACTAGTTGTGTCGCAGGGAATTTATACATAGTCTTTACCTCCTCCTTCCGCCTGAGCAATCCAGTTACAAAGAAACTTTGTAGTAACTTGCCCAAATATACCTGTGTTAACATTCAGCCCATTTGTATCTCACCCTGCAGTCACAGACTTTGCTGACAAGTATTGTTACAGTACACAGACACTACAGATACTGTACTTTACACACCACCACAAAAAACCCCAAACATCAGTAAAGGAACTGGAATAACGGAAAACAATTTTTTCTTGGGACTAGATTGAAGAGTTCATCTTAAATATTCCCAGGCAATTATGACTGGATTTCACCCACACAGGTTTATTGTCAAGCACTCACAAGCTAAGCCACACTTGGTGGCTAAGCCCAGCTGTGGCTTCACATACAAAACCAAACCACCATGACAAAATACTGTGGAGATACTGAAGTCTCAATAACATTTCTATCAACATGCTGTATTTCCTAAAACCTGCATTTTTGATCCATCCTAGCAAACAACGTTCCCTACAAATATTCTATTCATTTTAATTAATGTTTGTGCTTTCTGGTGTATGACTTGATCTAAAAATGCTACTTTTGTGCAAAAGAGTGAAACAGCCACAGATTCACTAGTGAACACAGCCACTGTCTGCCCATTACACAGCGTTTTCTTATGTATGTATGTAGCTGAGTTTTTTTCAGAATTGCTCAGATTCTGAAGTCTGCATTTCAGGAGTTAGACCAGAAGTGAGATAAACCTTAACATCTTAACCATGCTGCTGAGATGAGGCACTGTAATCAGCACAAGTACTCCTCCCCATTTGCTTCATGAGTTTAGAGAAATGGTCAAGCATTTACAGAGACACTGAGAGGTCTGTTATCCATAAGCTCCCTATTTATTTATTTTAGAAAGCATAGCTACTGCATGTCAACAGCTGAAAAGAATGGTATTTTATGATTAATTTGTACTGTCAGTGCTACAGAGAGCTTTATTGTAGCAAAATATCTTAATCAGGGAAACTGTGACTGGCCATACCCCAGGGTACAATAGAGGGCTCTCAGCACTACAGGACTTTGCAACCAGTTCTGAGGCTTTGAGACAGCAGGCTCAGTAGCAACCTTCCCTCCCTCATTACTTTAACGGTATTAATCATCCTCAGGTGCAAGAGGATTCCATCCATTCAGTCTCCAAGCAGATCTTCACTTTACACTGGGACGTTCACATCGCCAACTCACCCTTTCAAACTTGAAGACAGCAGCCCAGAAGAGGAGAGGGCCTAGGCCAAAAACAAGCCCTAGGAAGGACGTCTTCGGTGTCGGGCGGA